AGAATCTTTGCGCCGCTAAGCCCTGCCTAAACAATGGGACCTGCTACACGGGGTAAACTGTGAAAATTGTTTTTGCTCACCAGGATACAGCGGAGAAAAATGCCCGACAGGTTAAGTGTTTTTTGACGACAAGTAATGTGCATTGACAATTTGGGCCGTGCAAGGTTGATAACATCGCGACACTCTATAATACTGGATAAAAAGTTTGGTTATTCTTGTTGCGTCGATGACTTGTTTTAGGAGGCAAAACAAATGATGACGATGACTTTTGTGACCAAAAAAAAAGCAGAACACTTGTCTTTATAATAATTTTAAATGAGATAACAGATCAGTCTAGTATATATCTTTCACTTCCGTTCTTGTTTCTCGCTGAAAAGGAAATTGCGTTTACGATAATCAGATTCAGGATTCAAATAAAAGAAATTTTCCGACATGATTAATAGATTATCATCAAACTTAAGAAGTGAATCTTCATTAAGCGTCTCTTCGCACGGTGAACTGTTTATAAAGTACGAGTGTTTTCACTCGAAGATATTCAGAAACGACGGATTTGCTTGGTGGGTGTCACGTAATTCTACTAACATGACGTACTGGGGTGGAGCATCTGTCAATGGTAATTGCCTAGCGGGATGACCAACTCATGTGCGAACCCCAGTTATGGCTGTAACTGTGATAAGAATGACTATGCTGTCTCTTGACTGACAAGGCAAAGCTTCCAGTAAAACATCTCAGGTTTGGAGATGCTGGTCTTTTTCTGGAAAAGGGCTACCACACGCTGGGGAAACTGAAGTGCTATGAGACAGCAGAAGCACATTGGTACAACACAGAAAAACTTGTTGTTGTTATCATGTCTTATTGTTAATGTTTTGAGATTCTTCATAATATTCCTTCATGATAGGTTTAACAACATGAAAATCAATAGCGAAATGGCAAAATATCAAGACTGATTTTGCATAGGGCTGACTCTGAAAAGCTTCAACTTGTTGTACTTCTTTACTTATTTCGTTATAATGTTTACTTTAATTTTTGTTAAACTAAAAAGTTGGTTTTAACAATATATGTTTAACTTAGGTTTAAAAAACACAAAGACGATTCATGTGTATAGTTACGAGCAGCGATATAAATGAGTTCAGTACATTTTGAGTATAAATAGCAGTAGCTAAACTGTACTTATTGCTTTTTAGCTCAGCATCAGCTATCTTGAAATATTCCAATAAACTTCATTTTCAAGCGCCAATAATTCATGCAGCTGCTGCGAGTAGCTTTAATTGTAAGTAATTCGTGACAGCTTTTATTATATTTCGGTTCTCTTCAAGAAACGCCTTTCTCTTGTTGCGCACCAGTCTTCTCTCCCGAGTCTCACTTTCACTGTAATCGCGTGTTTCCAAATTGGTTTCCCTGTGCAATCAGGCCAGACCTTTCAAGCGGTCGAGCCTGAGCGTTGGAGGAGGGTGTGAATGGGGGAGTACAAATGTCATTTGTCAGTTAAAATTTTGGCCATTTGTCAGTCTGTTTTAGCTTAAACCTCCGCATCGGATGTTTCTTTATCAGAATTAACTGACATGCTTCAATTGATATGTAAACAGCTGTGTAAACAATACATTGTTGGACGTTTCTCGCGTAGGGATGTTACTAGCCGGGCAACAGGGAACGAGGAACATTCAAGCGCGGCGAAGCCAGGTGAAAATGAAAAATGGGAGCAAAACCTAACTTGAACTCTAGCCCTATCCAGTAACTTCATTACCCATTCATTTTTGCATATCCTGTTGACTGTTCCCCTTAATAGTAATATCTTGTATGGCCGTCGCATTTACCCTTTGTTTTATAGCTTTTTATTTTACTGTATTTATGGCTCGAAAACAACAAAACTCCTAACGGATGAATGCGTCGGCTATACGCGTATACTGCAAAGGATGTCACTAAAACGGGGAACAGGGAACGGTTAACGAGCACGGGAAACAGGAAAATGAAAAATGGATTAACAAAACAGGGCATTGGAAATGAAGTCACTGATAGGCCTAGGGTTCCAGGTTTTGTTCCTAGTTTCATTTTCCCGTTGCCCGACACGCTGGGTACCCGATTTCCGTTTCCCGTTTACCTGCAAATGGATCCATCCTCAATTCTTTTTATTTAACAATTTATCTGTTGAATGCACCGGATGAATTTTCGCCTATAATATGTCATTGTAAACCAAGTCAGAAGCAATTTGGTTTCCAATATGGCAGGTCGTTGTTCTTCGGTGTTAGTGATTTCGCTGACTAGAGTGCTTTTGGGAACTTGGATGAAATACACTGCGACTGCTCTTGAAGGTAAGAAAACAATCTTAAGGTGATTCCTTAGTAAAAGAACCTAACATAGGTTGTAGATGAAACTTGGTACACTGATGTAACAAGTCAAGAAGATGACAAAAAAGTAATAAAAAGTAGAGGTCACAGTGCTCATTTTGACATCACAATGCTGACAAATACGGCTACTTTGGACCCTTTGACAAAAACCGCGCGCAGCCCAAAATTAGACAAAAAGCAGAGACTTTTTCGAAGATGCATGTGGTATCGCAGAATTTGACTTTATTGTATTGTTTATCCACTTGCATACCAGAAAAATGCCTTTTAATGCTCCTGTTTTTACTTTAAGCTCCAAAGTAGAATTGAATTGGACACGCGCTATTCGACCCGTGATAGCTCAATCCGTACAATTTAGTGAAATTACCAAAAAACTGAACATAGATTTGAGCAAATTCTTTCTCATCAAAAGGAAGCACTGTCCTTATTAAAATCATGAAATAAAAAAAAATGGGGGATCACCGTAGTCGTTTTTGCGGTAGAGCTGCAGAAAGTGCGCGCCAAATGCATTTTCTCCGATTTTTGAGAGAGGACTGGGGCGAGTTTCAAAATACAATGTATGTGAAAGGGGAAAGAAAGTATTAAAAAAATCCGTTGTTTACAGAATTTACATCGAGATATCACATTTAGGACACAATGTGATAAAGAAAGCGTTTAAATGAAAATCAAAGAGTTTGTCAAAGTAGGCTCACTGTAATTTTCAGGGAGTTATAATAACTCCTCTAGTGGGGCTAATTTAACTCCTTACAGTGGAGTTATTTTTCGTGGAGTTACTTTAACTCCAAAAAGGAGTTTAAAGAACTCTTTTTCAGGAGTAAAAGTGACCCCAGATATTGAGGAGTTAAAATAACCCCAAAAACGGAGTTATCCTGTACCTAAAATTTTTACTCCACTTTCAGAGTTAAATTAACTCCAAAAAGAGTAAAAACAACCCATGTAAGGAGTACAAATAACCCCATTTCGGAGTAATTTTAACTCCAG